GCTGTGCTGCTGGCAGGAGGGGCAGGATGCATGTTTCAGGTGCTGTGTTGCTGGCAGGAAGGGCAAGGTGGGTGTCTCAGGTGCTGTTTGCTGGCAGGAGGGTAGGTGCAGCTCCTAGACCCACTAGTGCTACTGGCAGGCACTGAGCCTTTTGTGGAGCTGGGAATTTCTCTAGGGCACGAGCAGAGCTGGGAGCAGGTGGGCACCGAGGTCTCTGTGTGCCCGTAGTGAGCTTTCCAGGAACGACTGATGTGGATGGAGACCCCAGGGTGGGATCAGCCCCATCAGGAATGGAGGCAGAAGATGGGGAATGGAAGGGTTTGGGAAGGAGCAGGTCTGGAGATGGTGGCTGTCCTGCCCCTGGAGAACAAGCCAGGGCATCCAGCATTTGCCCCAGGCTGCGCCAGCGGCACGTCCGAACCCTCCTTGTGCCACTCCTGGCACTGGGGTGGACTAAGTGACATCTCTGGCCCAAAGCCTAGGGCAGTGCAGAGAGCAGGGGCTGGTCAGGGAGGCTGGTTTTGCATATTTAGGGATATGTGGTGGGCTGGGAGGCACATGGAGAGCTGGGAGCAGCATGAGTGGCTCCTGCACAGCAGTGGGGGAACCGAATTCCCCGTGTACGGCAGCAGGGTGGTGGGAATTCCCTGTGCATGGCAGGGGGCCATCCCAAAGCCCCCATGCATGGTGGCCAGCAGCCCAGCAGCCTTCGGCCAGGGACAGAAGCATCGTGTTAGAAGCATCCAGGCAGGGCTGTGGCCTTGGACTGCCCCATGGCCATTGCCCCCAGTTGCAGCACTCATGGGCCCTGATCACTCTTGGGCCCTTCAGACCATCCCAGACTGACTCCACCTCTGGGAGCTGGAAGGTGGCTGGGGACAGGCAGGAGTTGGGCCTCACTCCCTGGAGCAGTGCACCATGGGCTGCTGTGCCTGAGGGGCTGGGGCTGGGGCTCGTCCCACAGATTGGTGCCAGCTGTTTGTGCCCCAAACACACCAGCAGCACCCTGCTAAGAAGCCGGGGTGCCACCAGCTCTTGCCAAACCTTTGCCAGGCAACACAAGGGGATGGAAGCGAAGTTCTTGCTCTCGTGCCTTTGGTCTGGAAGGATCCAGGTGCTCCTTGGAGTGCAGGAGTGGCAG